GCCAAGCAGCATCAGAGGAGCAGGAAAGCTGACGTTTTGGGCCTAGACCCTTCTTCAGAAATGTCAGCTTTGCTGCCCCTCTGATGCTGCTTGGCCTGCTGTGTTCATCCAGCTCTACACCTTGTTATCTCTTTTGCTATCTGATTCTCACTTAACGTGCTGTGTATTTTTTTACATGTGTACATGTCCTAAATTATTAACAATACAAATTATGTTGCAAAACCTGTATAATGACTCCACCAATCTTACTTCCCATTTTAATATCAGTGGCATTTACTGAAGCAACTTCCTTGATTGGATTTGCACGTTAAACAAATAAACTAAGTACACTTACTCAGAATTGTCTTGACCTGCAAAGGATTGGATGACCTGAGGTAGTTCTTTCTTGACAACGAATAGGTAACTCAAGATGGCTAAAATAAATGGAGGATGACTTTAAACACATGAACATTTGAAACAGGAGCAGAAGAAGGCCACTCAGCCCCTTCAAGCCTGTTCTGCCATTCAATAAGATGACAGCTGATTCGTTTGTGCTTTGAATTCCCCATTCTGACTTTTCCTCAATATCCTTTGATTTCCTTGATGAACCAGAATTTACCTACCTCTGTCTTAAAAATATTCAGTGGACTCCATCACTTTCAGAAGTATAGAGTTCCAAATTCACACAACCCAGAAAGAGAAAAGAAAAATTCTCTTTATCTCTGTCTTAAGAGGACAACCCTTAATTTTTAAGCAGTGTCTCGCAGCTGTGGACTCACCCACAACAGGAAACATTCTTTCCCAATACTCCTCAGGGTTTCGTATACTTCAATCAAGTCATCCCATACTTTTCTTAGCTCCAGTGATTACAACATCAATCCGTCCAACCTTTCTTTATTTGACAAACTGCTCATTCCCAGTATCAATCTAGAAAGTTTACTCGGAACCACCTCCAAATGCATTTACATCTTGCCGTAAAGAAGGAGATCAACACTGCATACAGTATTTTTTTTCTTTATTCATTTACGGGATGAGGGTGTCACTGGCCAGGCAGCATTTATTGCCCATCCCTAATTACCCAGAGGGCAGTTAAGAGTCAACCACATTGCTGTGAGTCTGGAGTCACATGTAGGCCACACCAGGTAAGGATGGCAGTTTCCTTCCCTAAAGGACATTAGTGAACCAGATGGGTTTTTCCCAACAACTGACAATGGATTCATGGTCCCTTAATTAGACCCTTAATTCCAGATATTTATTGAATTCAAATTCCACCATCTGCTATGAATTTGAACCCAGGTCCCCAGAACATTATCTGGGTCTCTGGATTAACAGTCCAGCAATAATACCACTAGGCCATTGCCTCCCCTATGAGATGTATTTGAGATGCAGTCTCACTAATGCCCGTATAAGTAAAGCATAACATTCTGGCTCTCATAGGCATGGATTATAAGAGCAGGGAGGTCATGCTGGAGCTGTAGAGAACTTTGGTTAGGCCACAGCTGCAGTACTGTGTGCAGTTCTGTTCACCACTCTATGCAATTGCATTGGAGAAGGTGCAGAAGAGATTCACTAGGACCTGGTTTGGGATGAAGTGTTTTAGCTGTGAAGAGGTGGATAAGCTTGGGTTGTTTTCTTTGGAGCAGACATTGTTGAAGGGCTCCTAAATAGAGGTGTCTAAAAGGTTTTAAAGTAAATTTGTAGTTCGGGTTGTGGATGTTGTGGTTGGTATCACAACAGAGGTGTCTAAAATTATGAGAGGCATGAACAGTGAATAGAAAGCAGTTGAACCCCTTAGTTGAAGGGCTAATAACAAGGGGACAAACCCTTTCAGTTGAAAGCGGGAGATTTAAAGGGGAGTTGAGGAAATGTTTTTCACCCAGAGAATGGTGGGTGTCTGGAATGCACTGCCTTGGGAGGGTACCTGAAGCAGGAAACCTCACAACCTTTAAAAAGTATTTAGATGACCACTTCAAGGCTATAGGCTTAGTGGTGGACTAGAGTAGATTTAGCATAGTTTTGTCAGTACAGTCTCAATGGGCCAAAGGGCCTTCTGTACTAGATAATTCTACAATTAATAACAGATAGCATTCCATTAGTCTTCTTAACCACTTGCTGCACCTGCATGTTCTTTGTTTGTGATTCATACCAGAATAATTAGATCCCTTTGCAACTCAAATTTCTGCATTTATCTTCTATACAGATAATACTTTGCTTTTTAGGCTCTTCTACCAAAGTGAATGACTTTGCATTGTATGACATCATACCCTACCTACCAAATTTTTGCTCAACTTTTCTAAATCCATCAACATTCATCTTATGTTCTGTTCCACAACATACTTTCCTAACTATCTTCAAATGTAAATACCATGTCTTCGGTGCCTCATTGAAGTCATTGGTTTTTTTTATTCATTCAAGGGATAAGGGCATCGCTGGCTAGGCCAGCATTTATTGCCGATCCATAATTGCCCAGAGGGCAGTTACGAGTCAACCACACTGCTGTGGGTCTGGAGTCACATGTAGGCCAGACCAGGTGAGGATAGCAGTTTCCCTCCCTAAAGGACATTAGAGAACTAGATGGGTTTTTCAGATGTTTGCCAATGGTTTTATGGTCATCATTAGACTCTCAAATCCAGATTTATTACTGAATTCAAATTCCACCATCTTCCATGGCAGGATTTGAACCCGGGTCCCCAGAATATTACCCGGGATATAAATTGTAAAAAGTTGATGCCCCAGCACAAACCTCTGTGGACTCCACACAGAATGTCCTGCCAATCAGGAAAGAGACCTAATTATGGATCTCTCTGCTTTCTGCCAGCTGGCCAATCTTCTATCCATTCTAATATGTTATCCCCTATAAAGAGCTTCTACTTTGTGCAATATGTTTTGTGCGGAATCTTTTCAAATACCTTCTGAAAATCCAAACACAGTATGTCTACAGGCACAGTATATGTTACCCCTTCAAAGAGTTCCAATAAATTGGTTAAACATGATTTCCCTTTCACAACTCCGTGCTAACTCGTTCTGATTACCTTGAGCTTTTCTAATTGCCCAGCAAGAATTTCCTTAATGATCAATTCTCACACCACACCCACAACAGGCATCAAGCTAACTGGCTTAAATTTTTAAGGTTTCTGTCTTCCCACCCTCCTTGAATTGAAGAGTTATATTAAGTTCTTTATAATCTGATGGAACTTTTCCAGAATCCTGTGATGTTTGGAAAATTAACCCCAATGCATCTATTACCTTATTAGCAATTTTTAAAATATCCTACGATAGAATTCATCAGGACCTAGGAACTTGTTAACCGTCAGTTTAATCAGTTTACTCAATACCACTTTTCTAGTGATTACAATTGCACCAAGTTCCTCTCTCTCTTCCACTTTCTGATTTACAGCTATTACTGGAACACTTTTTATAATCTCTATAGGGAAGACAGAAGCAAAACAAATATTCACTTCATTCCTATTTCCCTATTACCAGTTCCTCAATATCACACTCTAAAGGACCAACACTTGCTTTATTTACTCTTTTGTTTACAATTTACAAAGAAGATTTGGAGTTGGGGACCACGTGTAGTGTGTCAAAGTTTGCGGCTGACTGAGATGAGTGGTAGAGCAAAGTGTGCAGAAGATTCTCATAGTTTGCAGAGGGATATAAATAGTTTAAGTGAGTGGGCAAAGGTCTGGCAGATGGAGTACAATGTTGATAAATGTGAAGTCATCCATTTTGGTTGGAATAACAGTAAAAAGGACTATTATTTGAACAGTAAAATATCGCAGAATGGTGCTGTGCAGCGGTATGTGGGTGTCCTTGTGCATGAATCGCAGAAGGTTGGTTTGCAGGTGCAACAGGTAATTAAGAAGGCAAATGGAATTTTGTTCTTCATGCTAGAGGGATTGAATTTAAAAACAGGGAGGTTATGTTGCAGCTGTATATGGTGCTGGTGAGGCCACACCGAGAGTACTGTGTGCAGTTTTGGTCTCTACTTAAGAAAGGATGTACTGGCAGTGGAGGGGGTGCAGAGGAGTTTCACTAGGTTGATTCTGGAGTTGAGAGGGTTGGCGTATGAGGCAAGACTGAGGAGACTCAGATTATATTCGTTGGAATTCATAAGAATGAGGGGGGATCTTATAGAAACATAAAATTTTGAAGGGAATAGATAAGATAGAAGCAGAGGAAGATGTTTCCACTGGTGGGTGAAATTAGAACAAGAGGGCTCGGCTCAAAATTAGGGGGAGCAGATTTAGGACTGAATTGAGGAGGAACTTCTTCACCCAAAGGGTAGTGAATCTGTGGAATTCCCTTCCCAGTGAAGTAGTTGAGGCCTCTGCATTGAATGTTTTTAAAGCTAAGATGGATAATTTTTTGAACAGTAAAAGAATTAAGGGTTATGGTGAGAGGGTGGATAAGTGGAACTGGTGCCATGATCTTATTGAATGGCGGAGCAGGCTCGAAGGGCCAGATGGCCTACTCCTGTTCCTGGTTCTTATGTTCTTTTCCTTTATAAATATGTTTAGAAGCTCTTGCTATCTGTTTTCACATTTCTAGCTGGCTTCCTCTTGTACTCTAATTTATTTTCCTGATTTAGTCATTTTTTCTGTTCTGTCCACTCATCTGACCTACCACTCACCTTTGTGCAATTATATGCTTTTTCTACAAGTCTGATGCCTTCTTCAAATTCTTTAATAATCCATGGATGTTGGGTCCTCCTGTTAGAATTTTTCTTGAAAATAGGAATATTCTGAAATATCCCTTAAATGTCTGCCATTGCTTCTCTATTGATCTACAGCCTAGCCTAGTATATCAATCATTCAGTTTTTGTTGCCACACAAGTGCTGTCGTTTAAGATTAAAATACTTTTCTCCCTAGCAAACCAAATGTAGACCTCAATCATATTGTGGTTGCTGCAAGCTTAATGCTGCTTTGACTGTGAGATCAATATAGAATCCTGTCAGGTTAAACCCCACTATCATTGAATATAGGAGTTGGGACGTCATGTTGAGGCTGTATAGGATGTTGGTGAGGCCACTTTTAGAGTACTATGTACAGTTCTGGTCGCCCTGCTATAGGAAGGATATTATAAAATTGGAAACGGTTCAGAAAAGATTTACCAGGATGTTGCTGGGGCTGGAAGGTTTGAATTATAAGGATAGACTGGAACTTTTCTCACTGGAGTGTAGGAGGTTGACGGGTGACCTTTATAGAGGTTTATAAAATAATGAGAGACATAGATAAGGTGAATAGCAAAGATCTTTTCACTAGGGTGGGGTGGTTCAAAACTAGAGGGAATGTTTTTAAGGTGAGAGGAGAAAGATTTAGGAAAGATTTAGAAATGCCTAGAAAGGGGCTAGAGGGATATGGGCAAAATGCTGGCAAATGGGACTATATTAATTTAGGATGTCTGGCCAGCATGGATGAGTTGGACTGAAGGGTCTGTTTCTATGGTATATGTCTCTATGACTCTAAATGAGTGGAGTAGAGTCATAGTGTCATACAGCACAGAATCAGACCCTTCAGTCCAACTCAACCATGCTGACCAAGTTTCCCAAACTAAACAAGTCCCACTTGCCTGCATTTAGCCCATATCCTCCTAAACCCTTCCTATTCGTGTACCTGTCCAGATGTCTTTTAAATATTGTAATTGTACCAGCCTCCACTACTTCCTCGGGCAGCTCATTCCATACGTGCACCACTCTCTGTGTGATAAAGTTGCCCCTTAGGTCCTTTTTAAATCTTTCCTCTCTCACCTTAAACCTATGCCCTCTAGTTTTGGACTACCCTACCCTGGGAAAAAGACCTTGGCTATTCTTCCTATCCATGCCATATACAGTCATTGACTCATACAGCACGGAAATAGACCCTTTGGTCCAACCTTCTAGAAGGTCACCCTTCAGCCTCCAATGCTGCAGGGAAAATAGCCCCAGCCTATTCAACCTCTCCCTTTAACTTAAACCCTCCAACCTGGGCAACGTCCTTATAAATCTCTTCTGAACTCTTTCAAGTTTCACAACAACCTTCCTATAGCAGGGAGACCAGAACTGAACGCAGTATTCCAGAAGTGGCTTAATCAATGTCCTGTACAGTCACAACATGACCTCCCAACTCCTATACTCAATGCACTGACCAATAAAGGCAAGCATAACCAACGCCTTCTTCACTACCCTGTCAACCTGCAACTCCACTTTCAAGGAACTATGAATCTGCACTCCAAGGTCTCTTTGTTCGGCAATACTCCCCTGGACCTTACTGTTAAGTGTATAAGTCCTGCCCTGATTTGCCTTACGAAAATGCAGCACCTCACATTTATCTAGATTAAACTGCCACTCCTAAAATCAGATGCTAGAAAGCCCTTGATGTGCCATGTACAGAGTGTGAATACATAGCACAATGGTCAGCAGACTGAAAACAAAACTGAGCAAGTAGAGATCTGAATGTTAATACTGGCGTCTAAAATGTCTATAATTCTGCATTACCTCCAACATTCTGTAGTGACGTTGATCCAAATACTGCCAGTCTCCCAGGTCTGCCAAATGCATGTTGTCCCAATGTTTCATAAACCATGGAATCTAAATGCAAGAACAGTTTCATTGATTGAAAAACATTAAATGTTTGGCGCAAATATGAAAATGCTCAGATATTTTCTCCAACAATTGGCAGCTTCAGCTTTGTTAGTCAGACCATAAGATATAGGAACAGGCGCAGTTTGTTTGGCCCCTCCAGACATTCCAAAGGATCATAGCTGATATATTATTGATGTCATTTTATGACTTATTGTACTTTTTCATTTACATTAATGACATCAGATTACACAGATTATATACATAACAGCTCCACATTTCAATAATTTCACTAAGAATAGTGAAGAAAATGCCTTTTCCCCATTTTGCCAGAAAAGTGTTTTATTTTATTCATTCACAGGATGAGGGCGTCGCTAGCTAGGCAGCATTTATTGCCCATCCCTAATTGCCAAGTGGGTGGTTAAGAGTCAACCGCATTGCTGTGAGTCTGAAATCACATGTAGGCCAGACTAGGTAAGGATGGCAGTTTCCTTCCCTAAAGGACATTAGTGAACCAGATGGGTTTTTCCAACAATTGACAATGGATTCATGATCATCATTAGACTCTTAATACCAGATATTTATTGAATTCAAATTCCACCATCTGCCATGGCAGGATTCGAACCCAGGTCCCCAGAATATTACCCGGGATATAAATTGTAAAAGGTTGAAGCCCCAGCACAGACCTCTGTGGACTCCACACATAATGTCCTGCCAATCAGAAAAAGACCTAGTTATGGATCTCTCTGTATACTGCCAGCTGGCCAATCTTCTATCCATTCTAATATGTTATCCCCTACAATATATCTGAAACCAAAACTGCTTTTAGTTTTTAATTTGTAGCCAGTACTTTGTTTCAGTGCTTTCAACCATATTATAAAATCAGTTAAGAAACAAACAGAAATTGCTGGAGAAATTCAGCGAGTCCAGCAGCATCTGTGTAGAGAGAAACAGCGTTAACATTTCAAGTCAGGTATGACTGTTCTTCAGAACTGACTTAGGAATAATTCAGAATAGTTTCAGAAACATGAGCCTAGTTTCTGTTATTCTTCAATGCATTCCTTTCCTTCAAAGGTTAATTTAACTTGTTAGTTATTTAAAGAGAAAATAAAATTATTATTGCACATTCTTGACAAAACTGTTTTGATCCAAAATAACTGCACAGAGGCCAGTATCCCATCACCTAGTCACCCTTTATTTACACATGTACTGTACATGGGCTCTGACCAGCCTGCTCAAAAATAGTCCGTAGAATGAAGAGACTCTCTGAATCAACAAGGTGCAGGGCTGGATGAACACAGCAGGCCAAGCAGCATCATAGGAGCAGAGAGGCTGACGTTTCGGGCCTAGACCCTTCATCAGAAAAGCTTTTCTGA